TGTCAAATTGATTTGGTCAAATATAGATATCAAACATGGTACAAACAAAGACTAATCCCCGTAACCTATCAAACCATTTGGGACCAGTCAATGGCCGGGATCCATATATCAAGCCCTAATCTATCAAAAAGAACATAATCACACATATACACATCTTTCGTCTGCCGCAAGAAACTTTGGTTACAAGCCTTGGTTTCTTCTGGTAGTTGTGTTCTTCCAGACTTCTCGGAGCTTGAAAGCTGCCTTAACCTTACACCACCTAGCTCTAGGAGATCCCACAATGTTTTCAAAACGAACATCAAACATTCCAGCTTCTTCCGTGCCAGACACGCTTACTAACATACTCTCCATCCAATTCTCCGTAATCCAGTTCTCCGTACCAGGGGACCAGTTCGAGGGCCCATCATGATGGTGATGATGAGGAAAAGTGTTCTCTTCCTTCTCCTTCTCCTTCTCGTTCCAACCTCTTTTCACTAAACTCCGTGATTCGTCCTGAATCGGGTCGTGTTCATTCACCCTAAAACTGTTCTTGAAACTTGATAAAATTTTGGGGTCCATGTGAAACGTCGCAGCTGGCGACTTCTCGAAACTCATCAGCATTTCGGGTTGGACCGCGGGACCCGCAGCTGTAAGGTAAAGAGCCATCGAAGAATCTGATGGGTTTGAACTTCCTAAGTATCAGAAAAATTCGAATAAGTAAGTCTATGTTCAAGTATAACAAAAGGAAATTCTCAGGAAAAAAAAAAAAAAGTATAACAAAAGGATCATATAGACTGTAACCGGAATAAATTGTATACCTTGGAAGTTGATATGCTGCAATCCCGGACATGCTATGCCAAATCCGGGATCTTGCGGGCATGGTAAGGACCTTTGTGGATGATCCACAAAGTTCCTACCGTCGACCGCAATAAAGCTTTTAGTGTTTTGATAAGCTTCAGTCTTCAATTGGTCTAGCTGATAGTTGGTTAGCTGATCTGCGTTTCGAAACGAACCTTCATTTATAAACAGCACTTTGATCAACTCATAAACAGAGTTGAAGAGAAGAGAGACGTCAAGTGCGTTTGCGTTGTACAAGTAACACTCTGTTTCGTCCAAAACGCAATTCATTGCGTGGGATACAACTGCTTCCCACATTCTCTTTGAGGTCCCTCCACCAAGTACCTGTATCAAAAATATGAATCAATTTTTTTATGAATGGATAGAAGATTATTTACATTAAAGATTAATTTTAACTATATAAGCGAATATAATAATAATAACATAACCAGTTTTATAATCTTACTTTGTATAATAAGGTTGGTTTCGTCGCATGCAAACGCCGTAGATCCTTGACAGTTTTAACCCCGACTTCACCCAAACGCGTTTCCCAAACGCCGTTTTTAGCAATTTTCTCGAGTCTCCAAACCTCGTCACCAGGAGACGGAGGATGATGTTTTCTATAAGCTGCATAATCAAAACAAASAAAAAATTAAAACTTCACCAAAACGCAGTAACCGCGAATGCAACCAAACGCAGTAACCGCTTCTTACGTTCTCCTCGTTGGTCTCTACACCCAAAGGCTTCGCTTCTTGCCTCCACGGCTCCACCTCCGGTTAATCTCGCACCTAACCGGAACTTCCGACTCCTTGTCCAGCTCGAYTTATCCGAGAAAGCCACGTCTATCARTCCGATGCCGTCTTTAAGCGRCACGGTTAAATCTCCGGTGAGTAACGGCGGTTTCCTTTCACGTTGTTTGAGAATATTCCGTTTGAATCCCTCGACGGTCCAGCTTTCCTCCGTGAAATCAGCGTTCAGCGGCACGATCTCGACCCTAGAAGACGAGAACGGCCCCGTAACGACTCGAGCGTTTGTGGCGACGTCCACCAGCTCAATCAATACCGGAGAACCGTCCTCGGCTTCGACCTTGGATCCCGTGAATATGGAAGACGGCGAGTTTATGAACAGCAACTTGAAACGTGGACACGGCTGCGTTTCAGAACGTGACCACTCGTTTGGGGCCCACGACGAGGAGAGACGAGGTTGAATAAGACGATCAAACTCCTCTCGGACCTGAATCAGTAGAAAATTAATTAGTATCAATTTGCATATAGTTAAGCATACATTTGCAACAACTGCATGTCACGTTCATATGTTTT